CGCCTCCCCGCACCCCTCCTGCTCAGCCCAGAGCAGGTGGGCCAACCTTATGTGCCCTTTGGTACCTAAACCACCGAGAGCTGGGACCACATCCTTTCCGAGCCAACCGGCCAGACCGATGTTGGAGTCTCCCCCAAAGTGGGTGGTTTAATCCCCTCCCCCCCCAAGGGGAGGCATTAAACCTCACTGTGCTGTGCAACCACAGCAAAGCATCTGGCTAACAGACCAGAGGGAAAATTAAATGAGAGAACAGCAGCCCGTGGGTACGCGGCAGTTGTTTTAATTAATATTAAAACACATAAATACTGCAAATGTTGGTTTTGTATTTTCAGAGTTGGGAATGGAGGGTTTAACTCAATATTTGTTTTTCCCAACTTAACCAAAAACATCACTATTTTGTTTGATTTTTGTTAATCCTCACCAGAGGATATTTTTTCCATTGATTTTTTTAGAGAGTGGAAGGGAAGCAGGGAGAGAGGGAGAGAGAAACACATGGATTGGTTTTGCCTCTCGGCCTGCAACCCAGGCCCGTGCCCTTGATGGGGAATTGTGGAGCCCGCTGAGTCACACCAGCCAGTGTGGGGCTTTCCGTCTGCTTTAATGCAGTGTCCACACTGCAGTCAGAGTGATATTTTTTCAATATGTTTTATTGATTTCAGAAAGAGAAAGGGAGGAGAGAGAGAAAGATCAATGATGAGAGAGAATCATTGATCGACTGCCTCCTGCACGCCCCCTACTGGGGATTGAGCCCTCAACCCAGGCATGTGCCCCTGACCAAAATCGAACCCGGGACCTTTCAGTCCGCAGGCTGGTGCTCTATCCACTGAGCCAAACCAGCCAGGGCCAGAGTGATATTTCTAAGTCACAAATTTGATCGTACCACTCCCCTTCTTAAATCTTTTAATGTGCCTGCATCAAACTCCCTTGCAAACGCCATGGTCATAAGGCTTTACATGATATTACTGCTGCCTACGTTCATTTTTTTTTCTCACAAAACACAGTCCCTCTTTCAAAGGTCTGCAGCAAGCCTGTCAAACTCGCGGCCTGCGGGTTGCATGCCTCGTTTATTTGGCCCTTGTTAGCCTGGTCTACACTCAGTCTAGAGCAGCGGTTCTCAACCTGTGGGTCGCGACCCCTTTGGCGGTCGAACGACCCTTTCACAGGGGTCGCCTAAGACCATCCTGCGTATCAGATATTTACATTACGATTCATAACAGTAGCAACATTACAGTTATGAAGTAGCAACGAAAATAATTTTATGGTTGGGTCACAACATGAGGAACTGTATTTAAAGGGCCAGAAGGTTGAGAACCACTGGTCTAGTGGATAGATGAGAATATTGGCAGGGGCAATAGGATGCACTGAGTGCCACGATTGAAGTGATTATAAGATCTCAGTAAGCAAAGGAGAAGCATCTGGTTTCTTGTGTATGAGGGAGTGTTGGGGAGAGACTTCCCAGAAGTCCTAGTGATAGCTTTAAAGCAAAAGTGGTTAAGCAAGTGAAGGAACCCCAGCCTGCTGAAGATCTCAGCTAGTCTTCCCCAACATACATACTCTCGAATATCATCTATTCTGGTGGAGCCCCCTATCAACTAGTGAGGGGCTCTCAAAAACTCTGCCCTATACTTCTTTCCTGAGTCCAGCCAGATCTATATACCCAACAGCCTATTGGACATTTCTACCTGGCTGTCCCCCAGTCACCTCAATCTTTTTCCCCCCCAATCTTATTGATTTTATCATTATGCATATTGATTTTAGAGAGCGAGGAAGGGAGAGAGAGAGAGGAAAACATTGAGGTGAGAGAGAACAATTGACTGCCTTTCCATACCTACCCAGCCCTGGGATCAAACCCACAACCTACGTATGTGTCCTGACCCAGAATCAAACCTGCATCCTTTTGGTATACAGGACAATGCTCCAACCAACTGAGCCACACCAGCCAGGGCATCACCTCAATTTTAACATGTGTAAAGCTAATTTTGTCTTCCTACATAAACTTCCTAGATTCCCTGACTCCAGGAACTACCACCCATGACCAGCCAGTTTCCCAGGTTAGAAACCTGGAAGTCCGAGACCTTTGTCCCCCTCTCACATGACTGATTGTCATTGAATCCCTGGAGTTCTGCATTGGCCTTCTAACTCGCCTCTCATTCTCCTCGATGCTGTCAAGAGAACATTTAAAGAGGCAGCTACCTAGCTCATGCATTAGATTGTGGATTCTTAAGAATAGGAATTAAGTCCTTTGTTCTCTGTGCCCCAGGGCCTCAGTATTCCCAGTAGAACAGATGAGTGTTCACTGTTTTTGAATGAATAAATAATGAATGAGTGGTATGAAGGGAGAAAATGTTGTACCCACATCCTTGGAGTAGAGTGGCTTCTTGGCTCCAGCAGGGGTCAGCCTGGCACGGCCTTTTCATCTGGCTTAATATGTGAGAAGAGAGGTTTCTATTCCTTTTTTAAAAATATTTTTTTTATTGATTTCAGAGAGGAAGGGAGAGAGAGAGATACAAACATCAATGATGAGAATCATCGATCGGCTGCCTTCTGCATACCCCCTACTGGGGATCGAGCCTGCAGCCCCAGGCATGTGCTCTGACCGGAATCTAACTGCAACCTCCTGATTCATAGGTTGACGCTCAAGCACTGAGGAACACCGGCAGGACAAGGTTTCCATTCCTTTTAAGCCTAGGAGCAAATGGGTAGGGGATAAATTTCCTTCAGAATCCTCCTCTGTCAGTACTTTTTGCATTTTGGTAATAAGGAGAGGAAAATTTCTGGATTATGTTCAGATCATGAGAGCTGAAGCAAATAGTTTCTTACCTGCCATCTCTTGCATTATTTCACTTTTACAGATGGACTATCCATCTAATAAACTCACCATCATTCAGATGATTTGCCTGCCTCGTTGCTAACGAACAAGTAATTAATTCTTAACATTTCCATGCATAATAATTAGGAAGTGATAAAAGTTTACTTGATGAACAAAGGGGAAAAGACATTTAAGGTATAGGGGACAGTTTAGGATAAAGCACTGGATTATGAAACAGAATGGAATGTTTGAAGAGCCACAGAAGCACAATATTGCCCGAGTCTCATGCTGGGGTGATAAGGAGAGCAGTTGGAAAAGTTGAGGCTGGATTATGAAGAGTCATATATGCCGTGATAAGAATCTTTCAGCAATTCCAGGAAGTAGCCAGAGGTGACCCAGGAAAATGGTTCACTATTCACTTGACCCAGAACACCCCACAAAATCACGCAAATCAAGAGATGCAAATCTTCGTGTTCACTTTAAGGACACTCATGAAACTGCCCAGGCCATCAAGGGTATCCATATCTGAAAAGCCACCAAGTATCTGAAGGATGCCACATTACAGAAGCGATGTGTGCTATTTCGCTGTTACCATGATAGAGTTGGTAGGTGTACCTAGGCCAAACAATGGAGCTGGACACAAGGTCAGTGGGCCAAAAAGAGTGCTGAATTTTTGCTGCACATGCTTGAAAATGCAGAGAGTAATGCTGAACTTAGGGTTTAGATGTAGATTCTCTGGTCACTGAGCCCATCCAGGTGAACAAAGATGCAACGCAGAATTTACAGAGCTCATGGGCAGATTATCCCATACAGGAGCTCTCCCTGCCACATTGAGAAGACTCTGTGGTCATTGATCACACTCAGATGATGCGGCACAGAAACTACAGAGCTCAGGGCGGATTAGCCCATACATGAGCTCTCCCTGCCACATTGAGGTGATCCTGACTGAAAAGGAGCAGATTGTTTCTAAACCAGAAGAGGAAGTTGCACAGAAGAAAAAGATATCTCAGAAGAAACTGAAGAAATAAAAACTTACGGCCTGGGAGTAAATTCAACATAAAAGAAATACTACTAATAAAAGTAAAAGAAAAAATCTTTCAGGCATTCAGGAGCTGTTGGAGGGAATACAGGGAAATGACAAATTACTTTTCTATATATATAAAAGCCTAAACGACCATCGCAACCGATGACCGAACAGGCTGCATGGGGGGACTAGGCCAGTAGGGGGGTTAGTGAGGGACGACTAAATGACTGAGCAGCAGGCTGCATGAGGCGACCAGGCTGGCAGGGGGACCAGTTGGGTGCGACCAGGCTGGCAAGGGGGGGCAGTGAGGGGTGACCAGGCCGGCAGAGGGGGGCAGTAAGGGGTGACCAGGCTGACAGGGGGGCAGTAAGAGGTGACCAGGCTGATGGGGGAGGCAGTTAGGGGTGACCAGGCTGGCAGGGGGGCAGTTGGGGTGACCAGGCCAGCAGTGGGGTCAGTTAGGGGTGATCAGGCAGGCAGGCAGGTGAGCATAGGAGCCAGTGGTCCTTGATTGTGAGAGGGATGTCCGACTGCCAGTTTAGGCCCGATCTCCAGGATTGGGCCTAAACCCAGTCAGACATCCCCTGAGGGGTCCCAGATTGGAGAGGGTGCAGGCTGGGCTG